CCCAATAAGGACTGTCAACAATGCATTAACTTTTCCAGGCATCCACTGGAAGGACTGACAGGATATTCACTCAGTCAGTCATTAGATTAACAGAACAGCCTATGGCATGAAAGAGTTAATGTAATCTCTGCAATCCTTGCTGGACCCAAGGAAATTGTCAAACAATCTACTTTTCCCAGTGAGCCTGATCTGGGGCAGGGGAGAGGCCGGGGGTGCCTAGTAGGGGACTCCCTCCCTCAAGCCACAGCCCCATCCCTGTCCTGCCTCATGAAGTTTCCAGATCCCATGGCCACTTCATCTTGGTGGTCCCATGCCTTGCTTCTGCCCACTACTCTCTGTCCAGCTCCCAGGGGTGGCTCTTACCTGGGGGGCAGCTTGTACAGCCAGTGGCGTCAGGGTCTGCGATGCCTGAGGCTGGCTTGGGGCTTGGCTGAAGGTGGCGACAGCAGGTGCAGGACTCGAAGGGATTCCCGGGAGTGACTTTGCTTCATGTGACATTTAGAGAAAGGACAAAGAGTGAGCGTGGTGTGAGAAGAGGGGTCACCGGACTAGAATTTCCTGTCCACAGCTTCAAGTGGCAACTCTCAGCCTTACATTGTATTTCTGCATAACCCGAGGCCAATCACTGCCTTTCCCTGGCCCAGAAGGCAGCTTCCCAAATGCTACTGGTAGTGAGGCTGGAGAACCCTGTGCCAGACCTAGAATACAGGAGCTCTTCTTCCCACATTTAGATGAAGAAAATGCAGGCCTGGCTATGTTTTTCATTCCCTGGCTCTACAGAACCCTGTCACCTGTCACCTAACCAGTAAAGGGGCCTGAGGTAAACATGTCTCTGGGAGAAAAGGAGCTAGATAGAATCAACGGGAGTGGCGTCCCTTGGCTCATCCAGCAATCGGACCATTGCTCAGCCCATCTTCAGGCTACTTTTTGGATGCAGGTGCTGGCTTGGGGAAGGGGCAAGGATTCTGCAGGGTGAAGTCCTTGAAATGACAGTCCCTGAGAACTGGGCATGTCTTTGTCACACTCAGGGTCACAGCGGCTCTCCAGGCCAGGTAGCTTTTCTCTGCCAGCCCCTGAGGTCTGAAGTCTGAGAAGCAGCTTCAGTGAGCGTCTAAAGGAACTTCCTGTGAACCAAAGCTTTTCATCCAGATTATAGCTTCCTCTTGCTGCCTAGGTTTGTCAGGTATTGGGGATCCCCACCAGGTAGCCTCTTCAAAGCCACACAATGAGGAAAAGGGTTATTATATATATATATTTATATATGGCGAGACATTAAAAGGAGCCTAGGTATTGGGTGATGGGTATTAGACCATATCAGTGGCCTCTTAACACTGGCTGGGCATGGATTTCCAGGCCTTAACCTAGGCTTACTGAATTAGAATGTCTGGGAGTGGAGGCCAGTAACCTCTCTTCTTTTTTTAAAAATTTTTTTAATGTTTCAATTATAGTTGACAATCAATACTATTAATTTCAAGTGTACATCATAGTGATTAAGACATTTATATAACTTATAAAGTGATCACCCCTAGAAGTCTAATACCCCTCTGATGTCATACACAGTTATTACAATATTATTGACTACATTCCCTATGCTGTATTTTACATCCCCGTGATTGTTTTCATAACTGGCAATTTACACTTCTTAATCTTTTAAAGCTCCCTTTCAATACAGCACACAGCCACAGTGGGAACCACGGAATTAGATAACCCAGCCCTGCACTCCCCAGCCCATGTTTTAATCTGGAAAGGCACCGGCCTTACTCAGGACTGTATTGCTCATAGTACATAAGAAAGAAACTCAGGCTGTTTAAGGAATTAAAGAGATAAGCAAGCAGCAACAAAAGCCTTATAAAATACTAAGTGAAAACAAAATGGCAAATTTAACTCCACTGCAGAGGGGAGATGCATTTCCAACTACTGAAAAAAATATCAGTGAAGAAAGAATAATCCAGCCCAGCTGGCGTGGCTCAGCGGTTGAACATCGACCTAGGATCCAGGAGATGGCGGTTCGATTCCCAGTCAGGGCACATGCCCATGTGGTGGGCTCGATCCCCAACAGGGGGTGTGCAGGAGGCAGCCGATCAATGACTTCAATGACTCTCATCATTGATGTTTCTCTCTCTCTCTCTGAAATCAATAATGAAAAATAAAAAAAGAATAATCCAAACCTAGGAAAATTTAAAAAATATTTTGCCTGACAAATATAATGAATTATAAAAAGGAAAGTGAAAAAGTAGGAATATGATAAACACAAATGATAAAAGCTTACCATCCAGAGAAATGAAATATTCATTTTATTAGAATATATTTCCAAAGTAGGACCAAGGGGTCCAAGGGTTTGCACACATTTAGGGCTTTTGTCACCTCCTGCTAGACTGCTTTTCAGAGAGACTAAACCAATTCACAGAAACATCAACAATGTACCTGTTTCTCCACTGCATCATCCAGTTTAGCGCTTATCACTGCTGATTTTTCTGGCTTAACAGGCCTGTAGTACCTCATAGCCAATTACTTTTTCTCTCATTGATAGGAAGAGTTTGTATTTTTTTCATGTGATGACTTCTTCCTATACAAATAATTGATTTCTCTTCAAAAAGAATTTGAGTGGACTATATATACCTCAAAGAAAACATTTTTTCAAAGGACCAGTTCAAAGACATTCAAAGCAGCACTGGTTATGACAATAAAAAACCAGACAGTCTGGCAATAGCCCAAACCAGAACAAGTTTGTGAATCTAAGTCAGTAAAGGAAAAGTGTATCTGAAATAATACGATGGTGTCATACTACACAGTCTACCCTCAGTGGTCACAACTATAAACATATGTATGTGTCACAGGACTGGGTAGTAATTTAGAGTGCCATAAATTACTAGATTTTTTTTCACCCTGAAAAAGTTTCCTATTACTTTGTTTTAAGAAGAAATGCTTCTTGATACTGCATATCTAGAAAGGTCCCATTAAGGCCACAGTCTAAGCTGGAAGTTTCTCAGGAGGCACCATCAAAATACCTCCCTTATCTGCTTGACAATGATTAAAATTCCTTTATAGAGAAAAATTTCGTGAAAGGCTGAAGTGTAGGAACCTCCGGAATAAGATGCACCCGACCACAAACACTCATGCTAAGGTGCAGATAATTGACTTAGGATCTGCGTCTGAGAGCAGGCCTGGATAAGGAGCAGAATGAAGGCACCAGAGGAAATGAGATACAGGATATCATTACGGGGTAAAAAGGGAAGTCAAGGCACTGTGGATAAACCTGGGACTCCTCCCAACTTTTCTGAAAAGGGCCTCCAGCCCCACAATGGAAAGGGGTGGGAAAGATGGCTGAGACAAAAAACAGTTGTCTTCCTTGCCTGATCTCTAGGGCACTGGCCCACAGGAACAAGGGGAAATGCCCCATCCTGGCCTCGATGTGGAAGCAGAGCATTTCTAGGCAAGGGGGAGATGGTCATGTCTCCTGTCATTTCTTTATTCAAAAGGGAGGGAAATAAGTCAAGTTACAAGGGTCCCAAATGAATCTACACACTAATTTGCAGGTAGAGCAAAGGATGTGAGGTCTTGAGGTTTCTTTGTTAAGTAGTTGCTGTTTCCCTGAAGCCTGTCTATGCTCATTGGCTGTCTTCTTGGCCCCCCCTCTTAGCCTACTCCCACCAGCCCAGATCTCCAATCTAGGGAAGGGAAGATAAGCAGAAGACAAGGAGAGATGAATCCTGGTGTTCTGGGGAAACTGACAAGGGAGGCCTCAAGCCTCTGGCAAAAAGAGACGTCTGTTCTGCAAGGTGTTAATGAGGAAAGTCCATGAAATGGTGCCCTGTGGCCAGAGAGCAGTGCCTGTACCAGCCCCAGCCTCTAGAACAGCCCCACTGCAGATAATGAGGGGAGACAGTGTGGGAGGATCAGCCATATCCATTTCTGTGTAGGAGAATCAACCTCACGCCTTCAAGTCATCTTTGGAGGGCAGCAAGCAGAAATAAGTCCACCAAGCTTGACTCAACACCAGCCCAGCTGGGACTAAGAAGCTGGAATTCTGCAAGGTCATACCTAACCTACACCATTAGTCCAAAGTACGTAAGATGCACTCCCATCCCCAGTTTCTGGGATCTCCCGGCTTTACCACAGCAGGTACTGAGTTGGAAGGGCTGTGATCCTAAAGATCTAGTTCTCTCTGCCTGAGGGTCTGGTTTAGACCTAGGAGCCCTCTCTGAGGTTTATTCAATCCCCTCAGCTGAGCCCTGCCACTCTCCACCCCCTCACCCTGACCCATCCCAGTTTAGGTCTGGAAGTGACTGAAACCAGAGCTAAAGTTCCAGGGACAAGAAGTACAGGACAGCCCTAGCAGCTGACCAGAAGTACAGGCCATAGCCAGAGGCTGTCCAGTGGACAGGAAGACAAGATCCAAAAGCCACCTAGGCCTCAAGGACTTGTGCTGGCTCCCCAGGGAACCACAGAGAGGGACCCAGGTGGAACAATGCCAGATGGGGGCAATGGCCTCGTACCAGTTGCATCTGCAGAGGAGTCTGGGTTGTCTGGCCCAGCTTCACCAGCAGGTTCACCGGCTTCAGCAGGGCCTCCGCTCTGGGAGCCCTCGGTGGCCACACCTTCCAGTCCTTTGCCCTCCTCCTCAGCAGGGATCTGGGCATCCACTCCAACTTCCAGCACACGGATGGTCTCATGGCCTGACATCACGATGACCTGCAAACAGAGGACAGGGGACACTGCTGGAGGAGGGGCTGATTTAGACCCCCCTAGGGACCAGAGCTTTGGGTATGAGGGGAACAGAGGAAGGGCACCTGAGGAGGTGGACTTCCTGTCCTGAGCACTGTGTGCTCTGTGAGAATTCCAGAACCTGGGGGAGGCTGCAGCTCCCTGATTCCAAAGAAGGGGCAGCTAGGGCAAATTAGCCCTGGGGACAGGGGGCAGGGCCTGACACAAGCTGGAAAAAGTCCCCCAGAGCCAAACCGCTTGAGGATATTTCTATTTGCTCCCTTTTGTGGACTTGGTTCAGGGAGTGGTAAAAGGTCTATTCCACAGCCTTCCAAGGATGTCCTCTCGGCTGCTAGGATATTGGTGTGTGGCTATGAGGGCTCCCAACACATTATCCAAAGCTTAAGCTGGGCCAAGAAGCAAATCCTGTTTGATGTCCCTTGAAACCTTACAAAAGTTCCCTCAAAGATAAAGCAGTGGAAAACAAATGCTCCACATGTTGAGTAACTTTCTCAGCTCGTGATTCCTTTACTTCCAAAACTCTGGGGTAAAGGGCAAGATTTCCCTGCAAGCTAACTTCCTGAATCCTGAAGACGTAGCCTCTCACCCCACCCCCCTGGACTGGGGTTTGTATACCCTGTGGGCCTGTGGCTACAGTTGTGCCATCTGCTGTGGGCTGTTCTGACCTTGAAGGGGACCTCCATGCCCCAGCAATGCAGGAGGCCCCTGGGCCTCCTCAGAACACGATCTTCTTCCCCTGGTCATACAACCAGAACTCAGATCTTTAACTCTGGCACCAAAATGCTTCCAACTGGGCCATTCAAAAGTCAGGGACACTCTGTACATTGAAAAGCTCTGTGTCCAGCCTCCCCTGCTTTTGGCCTGTGCCTGAAGCCACTCCCATAACACAGTCCTTAAGCCTGAAAATTGGATCCAGCCAGAGATTCTGTTGGAAAAAGTGACAATGTGACCCATCAGGGGAGCTGGAGTGAAATAACCCCCCCAAGGCAGTTGCCTTTCTGACTCAAACTTGCCCTATGAAGGACTTCACTCCAATTAACATTTTAAGAGTTGTTAATCTTTTTTCTCCTTTTAAAAATTACATAAGTGCCCTGGCCCATGTGGCTCAGTTGGTTGAGCATCATCCCATGCACTGAAAGGTCACAGGTTTGCCCAGCTGGGCGTGGCTCAGCGGTTGAGCGTCGACCTAGGATCCAGGCAATCAGGGTTCGGTTCCCGATCAGGGCACATGCCCGGGTTGCGGGCTGCAGCCGATCAATGACTCTCTCATCATTGATGTTTCTGTCTCTCTCTCTCCCTCTCCCTTCCTCTCTCTGAAATCAATAAAGATATATTAAAAAAGAAAGAAGAAAAAAAAAAGAAAAGTCACAGGTTTGATTCCTGGTAAGGGCACATACCCAGGTTAAGGGTTGAATCCCCAGTCAGGGTGCATGTGGGAGGCAATCAATCAATGTCTCTCTCTCACATCGATGTTTCTCTCTCTCTCTCTCTCTCTCTCCCCCCCTCTTCCTTTCTCTTTCTCTAAAACAAAACAAAGCAAAATCAATAAAAAAAAATTTTTTTAAATTACATAAGTAATAAATGGTCATTGCAGAAAAATTAGAAAATATATATAAGCAAGAAGAAAAAATTAAGAGCAAATTACCCAATGTCCAAATCTTTCCCCATGTAAGCTTATACATATTTGTACATTTTAATTTCTCTTTTTAAAGTCACAGCTTAAATTCTCAAACTCAGCCCCAGAGAAATCCTAGCTAGCAACTACACCTGGACAGGTGAGGTGACCATGAACTTTGGTAAAAAACAGACAACTGGCCCAGCTGGTGTTGCTCAGTGGCTGAGCATCGGCCTATGAACCAGCAGGTCACAGTTCTATTCCTGGTCAGGGCACATGCCGGGGTTGGGGGCTCCATCCCCAGTAGGGGGCATGTAGGAGGCAGCCGATCAATGACTCTCTCATCATTGATGCTTCTATCTCTTTCCCTTCCTCTCTCTGAAGTCAATAAAAGCATATTTTAAAAAGAAAAGAAAAGAAAGAAACAGAAAATGAGAGGCTCTATGGGGTCTTCCTACTTTCCCACACCACTTGGTCCCTCACCCTCACTCTCCCACCTCTTCCTGCCCCAGAAGATACCTGCTCATTGACAGTCAGAGATGACTCTGGGCCAGCTCCTGGATCCATGGTCGCCTGTCAGGGTGGGGTGGCGGCAGGCCCACACTTAGCACATCCTGTGGGGTGAAATGGGATGGGAAAAGCAAAGGTTGATATGACACAGTAGTACAATTTCCATATCATCTCAAAAAGTCAGAAGTAGAATGGGAGGAAGAGAGAGAAGCTAAGTTCTTTCAAATATTTGCAGATGAAAAGGATTCTAAGGACTTTACAGTGTCTTGTTTCCTAAAGCATCCCAGGAGAACCTACACTCAGGAGAAACG